GTACCTAACCACTCACCACTAAAACCACATTCTCACTTTTAATATTTTAATCCATGAGCAAGCTCCAAATAACTGTAATTTCTTTTTCATCAGCTTGCCAAAAAAAATTTACCTTTTTTTCCTGTTCTTTCTGTCACTGAATGCCACAATACCAGGATAATAATAGATTTTCTTTCTATATTTACATATCATTATAACTCTAAAAGCTCAACATGTGGTAGACTGAAATAAGTCAGATACAGGGCTCTTGTATCATGACAGCAAGATTGCCAGGTTCCCATCAGGACCCGCTTTTAGCTCTGCTGGATGCTACTGCCATTAGAAGCTGAGGAAAAGATAAGCCCAAGTACAACTTCTGTAGCCCTTCTTCAGATGAGGATCCCCCAAGCAAGTGAAATCTAGCAGCATAAAGCTTCAATGCCATACTGTTCTGGCAGCATTTCCCTAATTAAGAGTTTAAGGCCAGATGGAGCCATTAGATCATCTAATCTGACCCCCTGCCTACTACATGACGTGTCATCTTACCAGTAAACCTCATATTGAGCCCAATAATTTAGGTCAGACTGAAGCATATGAGAACTGAGGAGAATGCCATGTGCAAGGCAGTACCTTTTGTACCCACTGTTCTTGCACCAACCTGTGTCAACATCCACCATAATAGTTAAACTACTATTAATTTTTAATGGTCAGTCTTCGCGAGCGAAGATCCGGGGAAGGTCTTTACACCTTCCAGCCTGCGCATTGGATTTTTTTAGGTGAGACACAGTGTGCGCAGAACTGAGCCCACCCTTTAATCCTAAGGTTCATCTGCCTGGGCCAAGCGAGCTTGGACGGTGGCAGCGAGGTCCTTAGGACGTAGGTGGGTTGCCTTTAAGGGCTAACGAGCCCCACCTGCCCGGGAGTGGCCCTGACCGGGAATCGAACCCGGGTCTCCGCGGTGATAGCGCGGCGCCTTTACCACTAGACCACCAGGGGCTCTAAACTACTATATTAAAATAGTTAAACTATTCCAGCAGATGTACCTGTTCCACCAGGATCTAGACACCAAACAAGAGCCTCTGTTTTCAAAAGAAAAGCTATACTGAAAGATAATGCTACACTGTTCATCATAAACAGTTAGAGTTTACCACTTGTCTCCAAATGAGAGTTAGAAAAACTTGCTATTTTTTAATGTGCTGGTGAGTTACATCAGACTTTCAGCTGCCATTAAATGACTTTGCAAATTACATGTGTTACATCTAAACAACAATCAACACATTTTCATTTTGAAATAACTACTCTGGAGCATCCCCAAGGCTTACCAGGAAGTCAGGTAATTTATTTATTTATTTTTTTTTAAACACAGAGTACTTTTCCAAAGTCTTAAAAAAAATTCACTGTGTAAGTTCCTCTTCTGAGGACATAAGATGATAGCAGGTTGTTATTACAACTTGATGTAGCAGGCTGAAATCCTTTAAGGGTTCTCTAACCCTTACTCAGCAAAAATCTTTACCCTGTTTGCAGTTCAGCAGCTTGGTGAGAGGCGAGCCTTCAGTGTTCAGGGGGCTGAAATAAAAACTGTTTATCAACACTTGCTAAATAAAAGGAATAGCTGTAAAGAAAAAAAAAATCTGCATTTCTCAGTGGAACTAAACACTAGTCTTTATCAGACATGAAATTTAGATGTGCAAAAAAACCAAAACCAAGGCACAGCTACTCGATACTGAGTGTGCAGAGATTTTCCAGTCAGTCAGTCATTCTACCCAAGGAGAAAAGAAAAAAATCAAGAGTCAAAAGAAAGTATTGCAATGGCTGCCTCCAAGATGAGAACAAACCACTGAGGTCACATTTATTCTAAAGGAAAAGAGGTCTTTATCAGAAGCACTAGAGCACGACAGGAAAAGACTGAAACTCGGTTCAATAAAACCCTTATTTTAAAGACAAGAATACACCAGACTTTGTGTGTCCCCTCTGATGTTATACAGACAAGTTGAATTTGGCAGAGCTAGCTGATACAAAAAGCAGGAGTTGCAAAGGAAAAAAAATTCTTGATTAGCTGGGCAATGATCCAATAAGCAAGACACTGGAGGCTGCAAGTTCACAGCCAAAGAAGCTCAGGTAGAAATAATTTATAGCAAATTAAGTTAGGTCATGATAATGAAATTTAAAGACACGTGGGACATGATTTATTTTACTAAGGCTTGTTGAAAAGTGAAAACCAAGCAGAGCTAGCACGAGGTCTAATTTAACTCTGGTCACAGTCGGTACTGGCACCGACATAAACTTAACTTGACATACTTGGAATGGGAAAGAGAATACAAGAATAGGATTTATTTAAAAAAACTTTTTAACAGCATTTTTCTAAATTGCAGAGGAAAGTAGGGCAAATTCGGTCCTGTGAATCACTGTTGCTTGTTTTCCGATATTAAAACACCCTGGCACACAGCCCTCTGTGGCAAACGCAGTGAAATACCTGATCACGAGCACTGGGAAGGGATGAAAACCAACACCTGCGCTGCAAAGCACCTGCCATCAAGGCGCAGGAGGGAGGATGGAAAAACCTAATAGGAGAAGGTCTAATAGGAGATGCAGTGCCCTTGCAGGTCACTAGAAAGCAGCAGCAACGGCAAGAGGAATACTGCCATCTTTGAGGACTTTGCAAGTTACCTCAACAGGTTATCCGGTGGCAACCTGGTCTTTGGTTTCATTTGGTGACAGATGCAGGGCCATTATGTCCTCAAATGTCTCCCCTGCCACCCACGTTTCTCACACTGCGAAAAACACCAGGTGAAGGGGAAAAAAAGAAAGAGCCACTATATAATGGATGAAGGCAGAAGTCTGCAGGAAGGGGAGAGAGAGAGAGTAATGAAAAAGTGTTAATATTAAAGTAATAAAGCTTGTGGCCATTTTTCAGTCTGAAATGCACAACATCATAAAATAATGCTTAAAGGCACTCACTTCTGTTCCAAACCACCTGCACGCTAAGGTACCCTGCTATTAGCACAGAAGTTGTTTACTACCAGTCTCATTTCAGTCTAACTCCAGGAGAGCCACAAAGCTGAATTTTTTCACTCAGTACAAGACCCCAAGTGGCCTCAGGTTTTCTTTGGTATGCCAAGCCTCACTGTGTCACCTGCAATCCCTGCCCAGTCACTAATCCGCTAATTTCAAACAAGACGTATAAAAGTCCAATCAGAGCAAAGGGAGTCTGTGCATGGAGCATGACATACATAAACTCTCCTTCTCCTCTTCTTCTCCTCCGGTTCCTGAAGCAACAGCTACTCTTGGTGAGATCTGTTGAGCACACTGGCAGCTTTATCTGCCAGTAAGTGTCAGTTGTGTCCTACACTTCCCCAAAATGGTCTGGGCATTGGCAGGTAAAATGAGACTTCTATTTCCTCTCCTAAAACAATTACGTCCAAAAAAGTAAGGGAGAAGTAATGAAATATAGTGGTAAATAATTAATGGATATTGCTCTGAAATTAAGACAATTTTCTACCTGTTTATTTTATTTGTCACTTGCCTCTTTTTTATTTTTTTTTTTTTTTTGGGGGGGGGGGGAGGGGGTAGTGATGGTGTTTGTTTCTTCGGTTTGCTGTTTTGTTTGCCCTAAATAAAAGCATAGGAATCCGAAGTCACTCACTCTTCTCCTCTGTCAGAAACAAACCTTAGGATTTAGGGGCTTTTTAAAGAGATGGCTCAGGTACAATCAAAGTCTTTGTCTCACTGGCAAGACTACTAATTCAAGGACAAAAAGACAGAGGCTAGAAGAGCAGTGATACCTACAGGAATGTTCAAGGTTGTCAGAAAAGCCTGTGGAATTGCACGAAGAACAAAGAAGAAGGAGAACTAGAAATTATGCCTGTGCTCTCACTGTGAAGGGAGGAAGCCAGATGTGGGAGTTTCACATGAGAGACCACATTGGCTCACAAGCTGATGGGTGAACTCCTTACAACCTGGAGCCCCGTGAAATTGCCTAGCCTTAACAAATTCTATAAATTACACTGTCTCTCTGGGAGTTACATGACAAACCATGAAACTGCCCACCATCAGCAGCATTAATGTCCTGTTGACATAAGGTAGAGAGAGATTCACTGCTGTGGCCACCAAAACATACAGTGGCAGTCTTTCCCCATATTCACACATCTTCACAATGAGAGAGAAAATAATGAAAAGCACCCAGTTAAGTGCCCTCCTCCTTTCAAAGGCACCTTTACCTCTTTTATGCATTCAAATCCCATATCTGAATACAAGTCAAGAGTCCAGGACACCCAAAGAAGACCAAATGGCCTCTGCAACACTGTTACCAAGTCCCAGACTATATATTATGAAGAATGGCAAAACAAACTGTATCACTTGAGAGCAGAATTTTCAAACCCTTTTCCTCATGCTTCCCATCACGGGAAACATTATGTTACTCATTCTCCTTTCCTTAGTTGCCATAGATGCAGTGCCACAGTGCTGCAGCAACAAGCAGCCACCTCCATATGTGAAGCAGCCACCTTCACATCTAAGCACTCCCTGCTTCCCTTCTTGCTTTCAGTCAGGCAAAGGTATCTTCCAAGTTCCATTCTCCCCATCTCACTGGACAGTGAGGATAGCAGACTAGTTCATGCACAACAAAACAGATTAAACTTCCATAATGAAGGGCTGCCACTCGTTCTGGTGCCACTTGCTTCAGTGCCACTTGTTTTGGTCCAAGGACAGTTTGCCTGCATCCCAAAAGGATGCTTCCTGAAAATAACAGATTTTCCTTCTTTTTCAGCTGCAAGGAGGAGCCTATCCTTGTAATCCTGCATTTCAAACCTTGCATCCTCTGCAAGCCTGAGGAGCAGACCAATGTTAAACCTCAGTCAACTCAGTGCTGTCAACCCATATTCAAGCAGCTCCATGGAAGATGAGAGAGTGTAAGCACTAGGCGTTTACATGGCAATAGCCACATGTTACTGCACCACCAGGGCTCTCACAGTGCTTTGTGCTCCAAAGTGTCTCACCAGAACACAAAAGAGACAGACACTCACAGCCATGTCATCAGTAGTCCCTCCATGTCGTCACCACAATGGACGTGTCCTCATCAACAGGACTGCAGCAGACGTCAGCCCCACGCCTGTGCCATCCTGTTCAGTCCTCAGCTTCTTGCTACTGGCCTCCTTGCTGCTTTCAAAACATCAGAAGAAACTGTCAGTAAAGACAGGAAAAAGAAACTACGTTTGCAGAAACCAGTGGATGTTATCCACTGGATGTTATTGAGAAGGGGCACAAGGACATGTCTCTTTAGCATGAAAGCGTACGGTCACAGTTCTGGGGGGAACACTCCTCAGTAATGAACTCTGAGGTTAAAACCACTTTTTCCCATGATCATCCAGAGTGTCCAAGGCACCTTGTGAAAGGAAGGCTAGAGTGAGTGACATGCACCACACTGAGTGTGAAGAGATAAACAGAGGTAGTCTTCTGACTTTCACAGACATCCCAGAGGATGCACAGTGTGTGCTACTGACCACAGCACAGCTGCCCTATGGTAAGCCAGGAGACCACAGGCTGGCAAGCCAGCGGTTCCTTGAGGCACAAGCCTTAACAGCCCTGGAAAGTCAGCTCACCTGCTTTCCTTTTCATTAGGATATACAATCTCTCCTTTCTCTTTCCACTGAAAAACTGTCATCTTGCAAATAACCATTCTAGAATTCTTCAGAGTCGCACACTAAAATGTACTTCGGCAAGCACCTCTGCAAACAGGAAGAAATGAGCAAGTCTGTCGTCAACCCAGAAGGTGTATTACAACTTCAACTACAATATTAACCCACCAGATCATCATTTTGTATCATGATGCTACTTTCACAGTTGTATAAAAAAACTTCATTAAGAATGAGCAATTAATTCTCCATATTTGGTTTTAGCATCGGCCTTAATAAGGTAATCATTTATTCATAACCAAAGAAATACTAGCTTTCTCTTAGAATCAATGTTAGTAGTAAGATGAGAGAAGAAAGATTCTGTTTATAACCTGCAAATAATTATTTTAATTAAAGTTATTGAAGTATTTCCCAGACATAATTCTATATCCTACCTTTACTCATTAAAATAGGACATTACTCAAAGCTGGATGGTGGATGAAGAAAAAAAGAGAGAAAAAATTTTAATATTGCTCCCTAAACAGTGGCATTTAAGTAATTTCTTATTTCTGTTTCGTTTTTCATAGCACTTGTGTCAAATGCATTACTAAAACTTTAATGGATAACCTTTTAAGGTTATTGGGACATACATGTTCTTCGATTCTATGAAAATCATTTTTATAAAATATTACTTTTAAGTAACTTGAAAAACTTTTTAAAAATAGTAAATGGTAAAACATTATGCAATATGAAAATTTTCAATCAAAATACAAAATTTAAATAATGTTGGCATTTTTCTGTCTTTCTAAAAAGATGGTATTTTTTTCTTCAGCTGTTCTTCCATTTGGAGCTTTCATGGTCAGCTCTCTTCAAAACTAAAAGAAGGTGCTTCTTTAGTGCACTAAAGGTTAGAGCCTTTCATGAACAGGTGAAAAAGTGGCCCCACTGAATGCAGCTTGGTTGGGCTCATGCTCAGGATCTCAGTGATCTGAAGTAGAAGCTCAGATGGTTGTGGTGAGATCATACAACATGCTCTTAAGACAAGACACCTAAATATGAGGTATGTTATGAATGGTCTACCATGAACAGACACACACATTGTAACTCTGACTTAACAAGATCTGATGACAAACAGAAGATATGCTGAGAAAAATAAATGACCTTTTTTGTGTAACAGTGCCAGCAGAAAGCAGCCCAAAAGTTGGTACAGCTACTCTTGGGAATAATTGTTTCAACCCCTGTAGCCTCCCACTAGTTTTAAGGTGGTACAAAAGTTCCCATGTAGAGCCATTCTGACCTGGGTGCAGGATAAGGAGCAACTCTGGTAGACTTCCATGTGATGCTATGCTGAGTTCTCAGTGCTGTGTAAACCCCAGAGAGTCACTGGCTCTTCAAGGCTGTTAATGACTTAAAACTGGCAGAGCCATGCTGGAAGTGTAGATGAACACTGCCAAAGACGGGTGGCTCCTCAGCTCTGCCTCTATTCAGTGGGGTTGTCCAGTGTCTCTTTGGAGGGCAGGGCTGACTAACCTATGCTCCCCACTGATGGCTCAGCAGGAAAGGGATGATCTGTGCTTTGCACCCCCATAAGTGGTGAGATACCTAAGCTGTGGCTGGGCTTGGAGCTCAGAAGAAGCCAGGAGGCAGAATCCTGCCTCCCACTGATGGCTGCACCTGAGAGGCAGCAGCTTCACTTTTTTTTTTTCTTCTTTCTTTTTCCCCATTTGACAACTGCACATAAACACTTGTAGATTAGGACTGTTACAGCCCTGCAAGCTTAAAGCAACCTCACTCAGGCATAGACGACAGCTCTCGATGGCAACATGAATGTGACTGCAGACTAATTCACCTTGCTGTTCTGACACATGAAAACCATCTCTGAAATCACAGCACTGTTTGCAGTCACTCCTGTTACACATCTCTGCGCAGTCAGCACTCAGCCAGGCCAACACACAGGAGAAGCACACAGAAAAAGCTTGCACCTTTTTGGTAGATTCATATTGCTCTGTGCAACAGAATTTTTCTTTTTCAGTGTAACCATGAAAAGACATTAATAGTGTAGCTTTAAATACAGGTATATTAACAGAGTCTAAATTTATTTAATACACACATTCTGCACAGAACTGGTTTGTGTTTAAAGCACGTTAGATAGCTAGAAGGGTAGACTGCTACCAGAAAAAAGGCTATCAATTAAAAAGCTATTTATTCCTTCAATATTCTGTTTTCAGAAATCTCAGACCCCTGCAACCAGTGATAAAGCCTGGAGACATGAAGACTTCCCATCAGCAGAGGAGGATCCAGTTAAGGAATATTTAAAAAAAATGGACATACACAAGCCCACGGATCCAGAGGGCTAAGGGAATTGGCTGATGTTAATGGGAGGCTATTCTCAACTGTTGTTGAAAGATCATGGGGATCAGAGGAAATTCTTGAGGACTGCATGAAAGCCAGTCCTATTTTCAGGAAAGAGGATCCCATAAAATAGAGGCAGGTCAGTTTCACCTCCAACCCTGGGAAGGTGATAAGCAAATAAATCTGGGAACAATTTCCTTAACATAAAGAGTAAAATTAAATGATTGGGAGTAGTCGCCATGGATTTATGAAGGTACAAATCACATCTGACCAACCTGATAGTTTTCTGCAATGAGATGCCTGGCTCTTCTCACTGAGGTGAGAGAGAAGTGGATGTTATTTATCCTAACTTCAGCAAAGCTCTTGATGCTGTCTCCCATAACATCCTCATTGACAGACTGATGAAGTACTGACTAAATGAGTAAATACCGAGGTGGACAGAAAACTGACTGAACTGCTTGGCTCAAAAGGCTGTGCACAGCAGCACAAAGTCCAGATAGAGGTTACTCATCAGTGGAGTACTCCAGGAGTCAGTACCAGGGCCAAATAATTTTAACATTTTCACGATTGACCTAGAGGATGGGAGAGAGTCCCCAGCGAGCTGGCTGATAATACAGAACTGGGAGGAGCAGTTAATAAACCAGAAGGGTGTGCTGCCATCCAGAAGGACCTGAACTGGCTGGAGAAACATGCTGACAGGAACCTCATAAAGTTCAACAAAGGGGAATTCCAAGTCCTGCACCTGGGTATGCATAACTCCACACACCACTGCATGCTGGGGCCTGTCCAACTTGAAAGCAGGTTGGCAGAGAATGGCATAAGGTCCTGACAGACTCAAAGTTGAACATAAGCCAGAAAGGTACCTTCGGGGCAAGAGTAGGAAGCAGCATCATGGGCTACATTAGAGAGAGCATCGCCAGCAGGTCAGGGGCAGTGAAGTACATTTTTATTTCCTGCTCATGTTAAACATGGCTGTACAATCTGTATTGCCTGTCAAGAAGAGATGCACTTTGTGGGGTCCTTCACTTGCAACAGGGAGTAATAAACCTATCTCAAACCAGAATCTGGCTGTAAGTACGGGGAAAGGCTATACCACTGTATGGTTTGGTGGCCACAGCAGTGCATCTCTCTCTACTCTACTAGTCAATAGGAGGTTAATGCTACTGGTGATGGGCAGTTTCCACTATGACTACATGAGGTAAGCAGATGCAATTATGGATGTTCTGTTTTAAAAATACTAATTCTAAGACACAGTGTAAAACATTAATTGAAATCATACTCCTTTCCACAAGAACAATACTTCCTGAGAAATGGTTATATTAACAAAGTAACACTGAAGAGACACAATTATTGTATTGCTCTGATACTAAATCAAAACAGTATTCCCTTTTTTTAATTCATACTAACATCCAAAAGCAAAGGACCAAAATTTCAAATATCTATTCAATTTTGCAACTGAAGTCAACAAATTGAATTACTGAATAGATAGCATGACAATATCCTCAATAATATGCATAAACTTATTTGGAAACTCTTGAAAGGAGAAGATTTTTAAATGACAACAAGTAACACACAGTCAATTTATTTTGGTAAACAAATTCCTAAGTACCTAATGGACCAATTAAGTGATTAACTGAATTCAATGCATCAAACACTAACTTGGATGCCTACTTTCATACAAGCTGTTTTAAAAGTACTGCCCTTAAAACAATTAAAACAAAAGAAAACAAAAACACCAAACACAAAAAAAGTTCAACCTTTTTTTTTAATGCTTTTGGGCAGCAAAAGCTGGCAAGAAAACAAGGGGAAAATTTCATTCTGTTTTCTGCACCCAAATTACATAAGATGGTCCTGCTAAGTGTAGCTACAAGACTTCAAAAGAAAGCAAACCCAACCCACTGAACTTTCTCCTTACTGAAGTACTATTCCAGTGATTTCAGAAAGAGCTGAACTGAGCCACGATAGAGCAAGTTTTCTAAAATTCCACCTTCTGTTATTAATTTTAAAATATCAGTCAAATGGTTTGTAATGCAAAATACATTTTTCCATCCCTCATTTACAATCCCATCTTAGAAAATCTGAGGCCAATTCACGTCCCTCTACACAGATGCGACATGTGCCAAAGCAAAAAAAAAAACCAACTCTGCAGGAATAAGCCACCATGGCTTCCCCTGAAGCCTCTTACTGGATTTTGTAGCCTTGAAAGGAAAAAGGGCTATTATTATGCTGGTTCCCACCTTGCCAAACCAAGAGCCCCTAGATCTGCTTGGTATCTTGTGATTGCATTCACACAGCTTTCTTTTGCTACCTTAAAGCAGAGCCAGCACAACTATTTTCATCTCCTGGTATCACTCAAACATTCTATCAGGCTATTTGCTTAACCCAGAAATCCCAGGGGCTTCTAAAAGCCCAGGCTCTGAAGGAAAGTTCGAGCACCACATGACACCAAAGAAGCAAGGCATACCACATCTGCTCAATACTTCTACAGGTCCACACAATCTGCAGGTGAGAATGGGAGCACTTCTGCTTACCAGCTTTTTTCCAAATCCATGGAAGGAGTCAACCATGAAGATCACCTCTACATACAAGTAAAGGGACTACATCATGGGATCATGTAGTTCATGCCTTAAAAAAAAAAGCACCATCTTAATTTTCAAGTTCACAGTAACAGAAATACCTTTGAAATTCATGGACTGATAGCACTGATAGCAGACAAATTCCTTTTA